CATTTGGTCTAATGCTCTTTTCTTGGCTTCTTTATCTCTCAATTATTGGTTGTTAAGTTTTCAAAGCATTCCTACATGTCTCTTATCTCTATATAATGTGGGAAATTATATTAGTCTCATTCAACATTGCTCAATTTACTTTTTTATTTTACTACCATTGTTTTTACCTTGGTCTTAACTGACACATTATAAGTTCAAATTTAACAGTGTCTTAACAATCTGTTCATTTTTGTAACAGGAATGGTGAGAAGAATTAACAAAAACATTTTTCAGTCACACACAATTTTTATGCATTGCATTTTGTATTTGATTACTTGAAAACTTTTAAAATAAATATGATAAAAATGTATTGTTGATTTAAATAATGAAATCTTTTGCTTTTATAAATATTCATTTCCATTTTACAAACTACAAACATATATGATAGAGTACTCAAAAAATGTAGCTGCTTGGATGTGTCTTTCTTTTAAAATCTTTTTTGTCATGTTTCAGACATATAAGACGATAAATTCTTGATAAGTGTGTCTAATATTCATGGCAATAATTCATTTACAATGATAGAAGGATCTTCAGAATCTTTTAATGTGTAAATCTATCACCGAGTAAGAATCTATAAAATGCAGATTCTATTTTAAGAAATTTAATGTTGAAATATTTAATCTGCTGAGGAATTCAAAGAATCTTGTTTTTGTTATTACCCCACTTCACTACCACATAAAAAAAATGCTGCCTTACTGTTCTCAATCAAATTGAGATAATAACTGCAGTAAGATTTTAATTGTTTTAATACCCCATATTTTATAAAGCTCTGTGTCCTGAACATTCTGCTTTCTTGTCTGATAAAGTTGGTCTGTGTTAAGCAATGTCAAAAATGCCAACTTTGAACACTTCTTTTGTTTGCACATATCTATCTGTAAAATTTTTCATTCCCTGCACAATTTAATTTTAACTCAAAATAAATAAACAGTAGCTGCACTGTTTGACTTTGACTTGAATTACAGCTTTACACATTCACATTGTCTGCTTACAGTCTTAACTTTTCATCATCATCAAAGATTCCAGTCTTAGTTTAAAAACCTTTCCAGACAGACCAACCAGATTTGGATGGTCAAACACATGTACTTTATAACAAGTGAATGTAAAAATGCCAACTGGCTGTAAAGGAGTACATGCTATTAAATCAGCCCAAACATTGGCATTTGAAGTTAGTGGTTTATTTATTTTTTTTATCATTGGTCAGTCAGTTAAATGCCATACATGATGCACGCTTGGGCGATCATGTCTCTTTTGAGTCATGACTGACTAGGCAGAAGAATTTTCCTCCCATTTAATTCTGTGGTAGACTGCTTGCCAACCAAGGCTACAGGACCTAGTCTATCCTGCTATTATGGGATGGGGAGAGATAAATTTATACCTTTTCCAATGGTATTTGCATCTATGTGAATGTAACAAACCTAACTGGAATTCAAACTCAGCTCTTCGATTTCTCATTCTGAACTGATAACCATTATACCACACTTCATTGATAGATGATCAAATTTAGATAACATGTCAACCAGGCTTAGACTTAAGAATGACCAGGTTGCCTTGCAGACTGTTTTTGACTCTGATGATGAATTTCAAATGAGGGAAATATATGAATTTAGTTCTAAGTCTGATTCTTGATTTCAACAACACTGACAACAGGCTAAGTGCATGTGCAGTTGATAGTAATTTAAACTGTTATAAGTAAAATATAGATTACATATTTCAGCAATTGCAATGCATTCTGGTTTCCATGAAAGCAGAGTCAGATATTCATGATTAAAATACAATATAGCCTGAATATAATTCTAACATAGTACATATTGTATAGAGTGGGTTAACTTGTGTCAGTCAGTTATGTGCCATATGTGATACATGATTGGGTCATCATGTCTCTTTCAATTTAGAAGATTTTCTCACAGTAGGCTGCCATTTCTTTTTGTGGTAGACTGGTTGCCAACCATAGGTATATGACTCAGTCTGTCCTGCTATTCAAGAAGAATGATAGATTCATAACTTTCCCAAGTGTATTTGCATGTAAGGGAATATAACAAACCTGATTGGAATTCAAATTCAGCTCACTGATTTCTCATTCTGAGCCATTTTCTATTACACCACATTGCACATCCTCCTTGTGTAGATAACAAATTTAATTTAAATTTGAGTTGCTTTAAAACTGGTAAAATTTAGAAATAAATTCATTTTTGTCTTAGGTTAATGTTTTTAATGCCTTGTCATCAAAGACTTTGTTGTATATTTTTGAGACTCACTAGTTTCTAAATCTTTTATCCATTATTTTCCTCTTGTTGAGTAGCAGATGAACTCATTGAATCAAACTTTACCAAGAAATTTTATAAGTTACAGTTCCATGAACAGTACAAAGTCAATTAAATTTGTTAACAATAACCATGTAATAAATAATAGTGAATCACTGATGTAGTCTATCCAATAACAGACAGGTTTGAACAGGTTTGAATTGAGAGTGTAGTATATACAAGGAGACAATTCATGATCAATGGCCCATTTTCAAGTAAATGCTTGACCTGAATACAAGTCAAGAAATTTAAATAGTGACATTGATCCTTTGCCTAAGGATGAATAAAAAAGGATAGTTTTAAGGTTCTTAAAAAGGATCAATTCAGATTATTGAGAGGATTATAGATTATTATAAAGGTTTCTAATTAATGTAAGGGGATGATTCATCTTAGTTTTAGTAATGAAACCTGGCCATTTTTTTTATTTCTGAGTTCATTTAGTTTCTTTAATTTAGATTGTTAGCAGAATATAATCTTTTGTGACTTTCAAAAAGTTTGTTCCTCTCTCCTTTTCTAATACTATTTCCCACTTGGCTAAAATCATTTCAATCTATTGTTGAAAGTTGTTTTTTCACCCAATCTTTAAGGCACATACAAAAGTTTACTGTAAACAAATGATGATTCATGTGTGACATAAACTCTCCACTTTTCTCAATTGTCTGACCTTTTCTCTGGAGATTAGACTTGGATGTTGTTCTCCATTTTATAGTTATTCCTACTTCATTTCCATTTTGTTTTAATGATCAGCTTTCTAAAAGCACTGTTGGTAAACCCTTAATTTATACATGTTTTTTTCTAATTGTCTGTAACCAAATTTTTTGTCTTATTTTATTACCTCATCTTCTTTACAATATATTTAATATATTCTCTTTAGATTTTTCTCATGCCATGATTTATTAAAAATATTTTTATAATACATTTTTTACTGAAAAGTTTTAACTTTTCACTATCACTGAAAAAAATGTAAACATTTTAAAATAGCCATTGGGACAATGATTTCAGTTTATGGAAACCTGAGAAACAACAGGCAGATTTCCTCTCTTATAAATGATATATAATGGATTCTTTCAAAAACCCAGTCAGGTTTGTTACATTCACTTATGTACAAATAACCATTGGGAAAGGTATGCATCCATCTCCTCCCCCATTTCTTGTATCTGGAAAAGTCATTGTTATCCTAAAAAAAATTGTTAATGCAATATTCACTTGCAAAAAAAGAATTATTCTTACAATCTGAAATCTGTTTCATCTTTAAATAACCCATAAGGGGTTGGCAAACAAAAAAACAAATCAATCTCTCAAAAATCTTAAAAATTCATTTTGTTATTATATTTATTTTACATAAGGTAAAATAAATAAGACTTTTGTTTCCTTGAAATGCTTGTAAATTTAACATTTATGTGGTTTAATTTTTAAAAAGTCATTACATATGCCATTCTTTTAGGAAACCACTGAAAATGATTTTTTCTTTTTCATAAGGTTTGAATTTAAACCTGGAAAAAGTATTGTTACAGGTCTCTCTATCTTGATTTTTATTATGGCACAAATTTACTCTGCTCTTAAAATTAACAAAATATGATTGTGAAAATGACCTTAAATGAATAAAACATTTCCCGTTATAATGAGGGTTTAATAATATGAACATGTTAAATTATGTTAGAAATTACTTTAAGAAATAATTATTTTGAAATGTTTTTCAAGTCATTCATTGAATTGTTTTAAGCATCATTGGCAATCATGGCTCTTCACAGCTCCTTTGCTCTAAGATATGCCTTATCATGTTTGTTCTTGGGAAAGATCAGCCCTGTTGTTAAGAGTGGGTGGCTGCTGCTCTGAAAATCATTCCCCTACTGTGAAAGCGATATAGACTAATTTTATTGTGCAAATTCTTGTTTGCAGTCCCCCGACTTATAGGCTGCCCCCCAAAAAAAAAAACACACTGGCATATAGGCCTGAGGAAAGGTAGCGGGACCCCTGGAGCCTTCCCTTTCTCTGTGGTTTTGAATTCAGAACTGTTCATCATTCAAACTGATTGCCAATCAAAGCTAGACTTCAGTCTATTTAATCCATACAAGGGTTTCAGAAATAATTGTTTACCCAATTTCATTCATATGGCTTGGGTCAACTCGTATGCTTTTGAGACACTTTCCAATGGTGCCGCACACTGGGATCACCTCCTCCAGGCCAATAACATCAAGAAGTCACCTTCCTTAGAAATTCACCATAGTAAGATTCAAAGCCTGGAAAGTGAATGTTCTAACCACTCCGTCATGCACCCATACTAATTATAAGAATATATATAATCAGTAATAATTGTTATTTGCAGATATGTTTAAAAATCAATGTGTTCAATTTAGTTTTTCAGTTTATATGGGCAAGTGTATTCAAAGATTTTATTTACATGCAACAATGATTATTTCTAAAATGGTATAGTTTTGAATATTTTTCTCTTTACAGTCCCTTTGATTTAGAATGGGACAGAACCGAAGCAAATGTTCATCTACAAATAACCCTACCTCTCCAGAGAGTGAAGAAGACTACTCTAGCAGCACTACCAGCAGTACTCGAAGGCGTTCCAAATCCTCATCTCGTTCTTCAACAGACAAAATGTCATTCTTCAAAAAACAAAGTGATGAAGCAAAACGAAGATTTGAATATCAAATGCACTTGGTGAGTATGCTTAACTTTTGAAATTTATATTTTTCAGCTAAAATTTTTTTTTTTTTTTTAATGAGTTGGACACCAAAGGTTAATTTTGAAGCATTATAACCATTAATTCTTGGTGCATTTGTATTTTTATAGTTTTAATGATCAAAATATTTTTTTTGTCATTTTCAAGCATATTTCTTGATGTATAAATTCATCTTGAGTCTCTTTTGTAAATTATTCAGAAAAACAAGGCTATATGGTTAAATTTCTGAATCAAATTTACATCATGGAGCTTGAATAAACTTTGGACAAAGCTTGCCATTGAATTTGAAAAATGTCTGTTCATCCAAATATGTTATAAAATACTAGGCATTTCCACTTATTTCTTACATTTATCCTAGTAAAGAGTATTTTAATGTTCTCTGCTTATTTACTTATGTTCAATTATCCAAACACTTATTGATCTCTCTTTCAACCGAATTCATTATTTTCCGAATATTTTTGACATTTACACATTAGGCCAAATATTACAAACTTTGTTTCTTTCTTGTCTTGACCTATACTTTTCAAGAGTAAATAACATATTGTTTTTTAAACTTATCCTTTGACACAAAATTGTCACAAAGTTGATAGCAGCTGTTATCCTTGGCTAAGGTTCAGAGTATTTTTCTTTTCTAATACTGAAATAACTTTTTTTTTTTTTTTTTTTTAATGTAACTGTAACTTGTTATTCTGTTTGTTAACCATGGAGATAACTTGAAAAGAAAAAAGAAACTATCTCTCAAGAATGAGGAAATATTAAATAATATACTCGCTAACCAAATTTGTACATAATTTCATTGGTCTATATTAATATAAAACTAGTTTTAACCTGTGAAAATTTCACCATTTTCCTATTTTAATATTGTTACTCATAGCGAGTTATACAACAATAAAATATCCATAGAAATTTCCCTATCACATCGTTAAATATTTGTTTAACTTTAACAAAATATTGCAATAACAATCATAAATGAAGACTGATTGTTATTTTAAGAAGTGGGTACAAATGAAAAGATTTAAAATTGACAACTTTTTTCCATTTCATTGAAAGAGTCATTAAAGAATTTTATCTTCTCTTTTTTTTCATTCATTTTCTCGCTGAACCAAGTAGCATCTCTGATATTTATTTTGTTTATCAAAATACAATAGACCCTTATTTATTAGGTATTGGCAGGAGACATTAAAACACTAATATCTCCCCTTTCTTTCTTTCATTTTCTCACTAAAACCAAGTAGTGTCTTTTCAGCTCTTTCCATGCAATGAAAATTGAATAGTCCATTATTTATGAGATATTGGCAGAACATAACGCTCATGCAAACTAACGGAGGGAGGAACAAGCACAATTATAATAGGGTACTAAAAATATAAATTCTAAAATTGGACATTTATAGAATATAATTCTGATTTAAATCAGCTGGTTAAATAATTTTTTTTTTTTTTTTTTTTTTTTTTTTTTTAACTACTGTATTGGATGACATAAAAAACTTCATCTATTTATATTTAATATTACAGTATTATGGAATTGGATTGCATCGAAAGTTATAACAAAAATGATTAATTTCCTACTGTGTGTAAATAGTAAACAACCTTTCAAGGTTATCTTAAATTTCTACAATAAAGAATATTGAATATTGATGTTTATCACACTAATTTTTTAAAATTTATAATTACTAAAACTGGACATTTGTATTATATGGTTTTGATTTAAGTCACCTAGTTAGAAAAGGGGAGAAAAACAAACTGCTTTTAACATTTTAGCTAACTAATCAACCCAAAATTTATTGATGTTGCTCATTGCTGATATTAGGGATAAAAGTTCACTGGTTAGATTACTGGATTAAAGTTCACTTCTAAGTATTTGATTATAGCTTTTTAATTTAAAAATTGTCAATGAAAGCCTTTCTTCATTTTTCCCCCCCATTTTTTGATAATTTTACTTAAATGTATCAGAGTTGAACTGATTTTCTGGGTTCAATGGTTAGTTCTTTTGATTAAAATTTGTCAAGTCTGCAGTTCAAATTCTAATACTAGATTGAAATGAAAGGAAATTTTGATTTAAATAAAAATCCTTTACCTAAGTTCTATCTTATATAATTTACATTATTGATAATGATTGATTCACTCTGACTTATGTTATTGGGGGCATCTTCAATGACTTGTGAATATTGTTAATATTTCTAATGACTAATTTTCTTTTGTTTTTGTTCTATTCAAAAATCATTTATTATTATTGATATATATTAAAATATTAGTATCTTTCTGACATAACCACACTTGCATTAGTTTTACAAAAGCTTTTTGTTGGCTAACTTGTATCTCACAAAACTCATTTAGTCATGAACTTGTAGTTTTGGCTCAGTGGTATTAGAGCAGACTGTTGATTCATAACTTTTAGGTTCTTTTTGGCTTGGTTATATTTGTTACCTCATTAAAACAAGCAGTTTTAGTATTTCTTTTTTTCCTCTTTACAAATATTTAATGTACAACAGTCAAGTAGAAATAGGATCATTATTTGTTAAAGATGGAGTCAAATTTACATAATTTACATTCAGACTAATGGTCTCATCGTTGTTGTTCTTATCACAACCTTTCAGTTGTTATGTCCTCCAGCCTTCTCCAGGTGACTTGTGATCAAGTAGCTCTCAGGGAATTTCAAACTGAACTCTTTATTTAATCTGTGAGGGTAGATTTTTCTTGTTCTGCTGTCCCTGCCCAGGGATATCTTTGATTTGTTCTTATTTAGGACTGCTCAATTATTTCCACTGAATTTAATCCTTTAAATTGTTGGTTTGTGAATTTGGTGATATAATAAAGTTCAATCCCTGGGCCAGGTAAGGCAGACTTAGACTCAGTGTAAACAGGGTGACTAATAATTGAACAGTGCTAAATAAAGACTATATATCCTTAGATATGGTCAGTGGTATGAGAACAATCTACGCTTGTGGATTAAATAAAGGGTTCAGTTTGAAATTTGTTGAAAGTTACCAAAATCAGCAAACATTTCAAGATGACCGTGGGATGAGACATTGTGATAACAACAACAAAGATGTGGACAACAGTTCAAATGTAAATAATTCCTCATCCCAGAAATTAAAACAAATGTAGTCAAATGTTAGGGTTACAGGACCGTAAGTTTATATATTTTAAGCAATGTTAAGTAGAATTGGAATGATGTACAAATTTGTTTGCAGAACATGTTCTATACTTCAGTTATTTTACTCTTCAGATTTGAGAAGTTAATTTTTTAAACTAAAGTCTGTTATTACTTTGTAGAATAACAAGAAAACTGTAAAAGATCAGAACAGTCAGTCTAGTACTTGTGACATTCACATGATCATAAAAAAATATCCTGATAATAAGGGCAGTTTTATGCTTGACAGCATCATCTCATTGTGTAATCTTTGAAGTGTTTGTTACTCTTAACCATATATGCTTTATTTGTCCATTGCTTCATGCACAGAACTAGCCACCAATGATAACAGTGCAATAAATATTGCTTGTTGATAAAGAATAATGGTGTTTTCTTAAAAAATTCAACGCCAGTATTTCTTGATAAACCAATCTTTTTATTTTAATTATCAAAGACTTTGTTGTAAAAAAAAAAAAATGAAATAAAATAAAAAGCATAATATCCGGGCATAAATTCACACTAGGGATACCAAAATAGCAAAACAAAGAAAAGCTATTAGTTTGTGGCTGTAATCTTAATCTATATCTGACTAAATCACATGAGCTGTTATGGTCCAATGCCTGTTATGTGCAAGTGGGATGAAAAGGTATTGTTCCCTACAATGTTTGGCCTTAGCAACATTTCTGATTGTCTCTATGATAGTTATCCATTGTTCAGTTTGTGTTGTAAATCGGTCTCTTGGCTTGGTAATGGCACTTGGCTTTGCCTCTCTCCACAGTTACTTCTGTCTTAAGAATTGCCTATGTTCTTATTTATAGAATAAAAGATTAAGATAATACTGAAAAATGTACTCGTCAATAATCAATATTTGAGTAACAAAATGTGAATTTTGTTATAATCAAACAAGATGATTTAAATTCTTATTGGCCTCTGTCAAATAAGCTAGTTATGAAAGAATAATTTGTCCAAATTTTCACTTACTTTCTTCTGTGAACCATTACAGTGTACCAACAAAAAGATATTTTGATCATGATATCTGACAATGGGACATAGGACAAAGAGAAGAGGATTCATACCCTTTCCCAAGGATATTAGTACCTTCTTCTATCTGGGTGATCATGGCTCCACAGAATTTCCTGTCCTTTATAGCTCTTAGTAAAATTTGTCTTTTTGCTATCTCTCCTAATCCCTGTTCTGCCATCAAATTACACAAGCTCATTAGGTAGGTTAAGTGCTGCTTTTCTCTGTCCATCTTGCCTTAAATATGTCCTGTGAGCATCAAATTTTCTAAGACCTCTTTTTTCACCATGTGCCCTAGAAATTTCAACTGTTTTTTCTGATTCTATATATTAGTACTTTTTTTCCATTTTCTCTAAAACTTTATCATTGCTTCATGTTCATGGTATTCTCACCATCCTTCTATAGAACCACATTTCTCTTGCTGGAAGTCTCTTTTTATCTTTGTCCAGCATTTATTGTTATATAGGAGAACCAATATTGTATTCAGTACTCTTTTTTTGTTTCTAATTAAATTTCCTGTTTCTTAATAATTTACTTAACTTTTGGAAGGCGTCTTTTACTATCCCAGTATCTCTTTGGGTGTCAGTCACATTTTCCATGCTCTGTTAAAACATTTCCAAGATATTTAAATTTTTGTACTTGATTTTTGTGTCTCTTATTTGTAATTTGCATATTGTTGACCACCATACATTGTCTTTTTACAATTAATATTTCTTTTCTCTTTACTACCTTCAGTAAGAGTTCCTATAGTTTCCTTTCTGTGTCTGATATCAACACTGTGCTATCTGCATATCTAATATTAAGATTGTGTCCGTCAATAATAAATCC